CAAGCTATTGCGCCCAAAAACAAATGAGTCTAAGGGCTAAGGTTATCACCTCGCCAAAGACAATGTACCTAATATTCTATATTCTATATAATCCCGAAAAATCGACAATCTGTCAATAATATTCCAGGTCGTTCTTCTGCACCACGTTCACGTAAATCTGCGAAATTGTTTTACATATTTGTTGCACCCGTTAAGAAAAATAGTTTACTATTAAAGTTTCAATAGTGTATTTCTACTCGATTTGTGGATTTCCAACATTATATTAAAGAAATAGACTAGAGGAATTGACGATATTGGAAAAGAATATTGAGAAATAATAAATGTTCTTGTCTGCTAGTTAAATACAGAGGAATGTAAATTTCACTGGAGTGTAAAAAATACCCTGAAATATATTTAATTTTCTGAACGAAACAGATGATAATAAAACTTGTGTAAAGTATGTTTTATCATTCGAAAGTGATTGAATACTTCCTTCAATTATAATTATGTACCGTTTACTTTTCTACTTCTATATTGTGTAAATAAATAAGCATACGTATTTTCATATTATTAATGCTGAAATTTTGCTGAAATAAACATTACAATTTCACTGTACTGATTTCACTATTAGTAAAAACATTCCAATCATTTAGTTTATTCGGTTAGAGATTTTTTGTCAGGGGTAATACTACTAAACATTTTAGTAATTCATGATAAACGAAAGAACTCTGTAATTCAATGAATGAATTCTATTGATTTTGCAACAGATGTCTCTTGAAATACTACCAGTCTCATATAAAAACAAAAATGTTGTAGGTATGTTTCATAAAAGTGAGTATTTTTTATTTATCTGAGATTAAAAAGTGACGTAAAAAATGTGATACAGGGTGTTTGATAACAGATGTCAGTAAATTTATCCTGTTATTTATCGCTATATGAGCATTTTGTTCACATTGTCAGAAAAATTGTGACAATTTGGCATCGTTCACTGTACCATACTTTTTCAAGTTATCATCAATGTAAATTGTGCAGCAAGTACACATCAAATGATCGTAATTTCAGATTATAAGTAAAATGCTCAAGTACGATTAACCGTTTCACGACTTAACCCTTTGCACTCGGAATTCCTAATTTTCCATACATTTTGTCCCTTCAGAGGGGACAGCCAAGTGCGAAGGGTTAATATAAGGCTGGTGTCCATTTGTTTCGTTTCCTCGTATCGTGAAAATTTGATATACAGATACGCAACGGGCTCAATCGATGATTTGTCGGTTTTTTGCAATTACATCAAAAGACTAAAGCTGCGTCTATACTATATAACATAACACGTTATATAGCAAAGTTAGAAAACGTGTTAGAAAAACAGAAAGAAAAATGTTATATGACGTGACATTACATAATATTTTTCGTATTATATAGCAAGTTAGATGTTATCTATCTAGTGTGACGCCATTATTAATAATGAGACGCGACATGTTATACAAACTTGTTACAGACTTGTCTTGTAACAAGTTATAAAAACATGTTGTATAGCAAAGTTATACAACAATTTGTTGTAGCCTAACAAGGAGTGTAAGCTTAACACGGTATTCGGCTGACCTAGTGTAGATATGGCTACCTAGTGATGATACCCAACGATGATATGATAGGAGAATACGCAACAAGTGGATACCGACCTTTATGCATATGAACACTGTCATGTCAGTCCTGGATGTCAATATTATGTATCTGGACACTGTTATGCCACTCGTGAATATCTGCATTTTTATCATCTTCGCTTTCACTAAACCCAGATTCAATATTTGAGACTTCCAAAGTGAGACATTTCGACAATAGCACACTTAAAATATTATTGTGATATATAAGATTTTATCGCAATAACACATTGTTGAGGCATAAAACGTCCCCTGATAAAATTGGATAGTCCACACTACACAACTGTCAAATGAAAACTGACATAACCTCAACAGAAAAAATTGGCAACAAAACAAAATGATAACGATTCTTCTATAACACCCTGTACATTTAAAAGGAAGCAATTTCAGATTCTCGTTTATATTTCCTAATTTGCGTTTTAGATAGTATTTCCTGTAAATATATTTATTAAAGTCACTAATTATCGATATCATCGTACGTATTCATTTCTGGGTTAACGTTTTCCATCCACAATATATATGTAAATTTTCAATTAAAGACGTGTTAAAAACGACACAGAAATTCCGTAGAAGTTGCTAATTATTAACGAGAACTCAATTGATTCCACGTAGTAGACGATAATTATCGTGATAAATTAATGAAAGACCTCCAACGGACCAGCAATGAAAAAAGAACGCAAAGAATTTCGAGTACGTAATACACGCACTCCTGGTACTCAATGAATGATCCGTCGACAGATTGCATTTATTCAGAATTATCAGGAAGAACGGAACTATGAATTTAATCGCCTTTCTTTGCTTCGTTCTCTCTAACATACGTATTCTTTTCGCCGAGAGATACATTCACAGGGCTACGATAATTGACTTACTCACAGAAAATTAAAAAACAAATTTTTTTTAATTCTATTTATGTCACTATATTTGAACATTCGTCTCCAACCTTACTATGCAAGATTTATTGATAGAAATTTCTTAAAAATTTCCTAAATTTTAACTCTGATTTTGTAACTCCAAAGATATCAATTTCCAACAATTAATGCTTAGTTTCTAAAAATTTTAGACAATTTAAATAGGTATCACATAATTGTCGAGTAACTTTATAAAAGTAGATAAAGTAGATTCACAGAATTGTTCATTCATCTATTTAAATAGATATTCTATTTCTGAACTGGAGCAATCCAATGGATTTTAAATATACTTTGCTATACAATTACGGAATATACTTTTCTAAAAGTGTTCGGATAGGGAACGTTACATTTTTATTCTTATGGTTGCCGGAAAGAAATAGAAGCACAGCAAAAATTTATTCGCTCTGGAAAACTTGCTCCGAATTTACGACTAACCCGCATCTATCGTGTTTTACGTAACATCTGCAGGATGCTAAGAAACGCGATGATGAATCGCTCGTTTTAATCACACGAAACAATAATTTCGTAGAATTCGTTGCAATATTCGATATGAAAAATTCTATTTGCGTCAAAGCATTTCGTATAACAATAGTTACAATAATTTTGTGTATATTTCATTTGATACGTTAAATATGAGACCATATTGGTAACCGTATATAAATCGAACGAGTCATTGGTAAAGTTAAAAATGCTTAGAATGTACTTATTAAATGTTCGAAATAGCCAATAGTTCATAATAAACATACACCTTTTGTATGTTACAATAATTTTGTTATATTTTGCCGTTAAAATTTCTCGTATTTTACTGTACAGTAAATTGCTGCTTTTAAACTAAAATATATATAATTCACAGATGAAACAATTATCAGAGTTAAGATTGTAACTATACAAAGTGAACTGTCGTGATTTACGGTGTCGTATTTAATTTTAAATAATTATTAAGAGCATTTGTACTTATATCCATCTTTACCATCTTTACTCTAAGAAAATAGTAATTTTAATAGTAAGAAAAATTGTCAATGTTTTTGTATTTCTGGTACATTTGTAAGATCAACACATCGAAAGGAATTCCGGAGATTCCGGTTGGTTACTTCGATCGTCCGATTTCATCTTTAAGGTCCATTTATACTAGGACGAGCCGAGAACGGGACTAGCTCGGGACAAGCATAGGGCCGATACTCCGACGCGTCTACGATCAGCCGACGAAAATATTCGTTCATATTTTTGAATTTTTTGAAACAAAACAGCTGTTAAAATTGCAATTACATCTATTTTTCTTGAAATATTTGTAACAGTAATTACTTATTCTTATCGTAATTTAAAAAAAAAAATGATTTATAAAGCGCAAAACATGTAAAAACCCAGTGAACAACTGCTTTATTTCTGAAATATTTTTACTAAGAATTATACTTAATAACGTTTGCTTAATACGCTAAACTAAAAATATATGATATTGAGAGTGCAACAACGCTGCATTTATAAACATTTAATGATTTTTAAATTTATAATTTACATTTCTTGCCTAATGGTCATTCACTGGTATGCAGTCAATTACTGGTTGGTTTACCCTATACTATCGAGCTAGCCCCGAGTTCGTCGAAGCATCGTCCTGTAGCCGGCTCATGCTCGACCCGTTCTAGTACAAATGAACCTTTATACGACGTTGGAGATTGTCCGTTCGTGTCACCTATAACTTCTATAACCTCTATTCGAATCCACTCTGCTCGGTGTGGAGCGGCGTGGCGCGTCGCTAGGTGTCTTTCTAGTGTAGCATGAAAATAGCCAAGCGTACTTGGAATATCGCGCGGCCTACGCGTTAAGCATGCTACAACGGCGTTCACTGAGCGCTCGCCAGCGTAAGCGAGTGCAAGGGAGCGCGAGAGATTACATGACAGCTTCGAGAAGTGGGGAATACATACAAGGGAAGATCGTTGAGGAAAGACAGAGACAGAGAAACGGAGAGAAAGAGACTAAGAGCGGGATTCAGAAGGGAAAAAGGGCCGCCAAGAGGAGACAGGTAGATAGATGCGGTTTATGGCGGGAAGTTAAAAGACGAATAACACTTTTGTCCGTCGTACCGTATATATTGTAAATGCTTATACAAGAGCAGATGCGAGAGGAGTTATATACGATTGCGAGAATCGGCAGAAGAGACAGACGGACAAAAAGATAGGTAGGGTCGATGGTTGGAAAGAGAGGGGTTCGGTCTAAGAAAGGTAGAGCGAAGGCTAACAGAGAGGAGAAACGGAAGGAGGAATAGAAAGTTATTTAAAGAGAACAGAAAGAGAGATAACAGACGGGAGATTCCGAGAGAGGAAATAATTGATACGTAGAAAAGACAGAAAGAGAGATTGATGAAGAGGAAAGAAAGAATACAAGAGGAAAACTGGAGGCAGGAGAAAGAGACAGAGAGAGAGAAGTTACTAGTAAAGAGAGAGAGAAGTAGCTCATGGTTCACCTGTCGTCATGGCAACGCCGCTCACTTGTTACTCCATCGGCATAGCTCGACCCTCGGTCCTCTCGCAGCCTCCGCAGGAATACGAACGCGAGTCACGATCCATCGTAGGAAAACGTGATGCACAAGCTTCTCTCTTACAATAATCCGTCGTTTCCACGGAGAAATCGAAAGATGTTAGGCTGATTGTGATGAGTGATGAGTTCTTTATATCCACCACTTGTACACTACGTTATCACAGAACACTTACTACCGATCTTCTTGGAACATATTAAACGGATTCTCATTCTTTCGAGATCCGTTTTTATTCACTGTTTCACTGTATTACTCAATATATACAAGATATATATATATATATACATATATATATATGTATATATATATATATATATGTGTGTATATCTTTCCCGTTTTTTTCACTAGATCATCACGACTACGATACTACCACATATAGTAACGTATCACAGAAAGAGCACAATAATCATTTCGTTGGAAGAAAATCAGGAAGGAGACACCCTCTCCGGTTACTCTTTATTTGCCCGCCCCCCTGGCGCGTATTTAAGCCGAAGTCGCTCTTCTATTTTAAGCTCCACACTTGCTCCGTCGTCTGCGTCTCTTGGCTCTCCTCGCTCTTTCTTCTTTTCTTACGAGCGCATGAGCGAGCGACACAGAGAGACGCACACGCACTCTCCTTTTCTCTTTGGTATGTGGTGGAACAGAGTCGCGACTCCTCTCTCGTTATCCACTTACCAACGCGTCAATCTGTTTGCTATGCAAATCCTGTCCGACCGGTGCTGACGTAGACGGTACACCAACACAGAAACGGGTCCGTCGACGATATCTCGTACTAATACATTTAACGGTGAGCAGTTAGTCATTGTCCGCGAAGCACACACGTAAAAAATATAATTGGCTACCACGACGACGACGGACCACGCAGCAATTCCACACGAGCTCTCCTTTAGTCACACCACTGTCGGCACACTGACACCACGTTCACCGCACACAACTATTACCACCCTCAATATTGCTGACATATATTGGTGCAGGAATACCACCAATACACTGATAACACCATGTCGGTAAATGCACCGCAAAACTTTACAAACAAATTCTCGTTGCAACTTACACGTCTTCACATTTCTTGCCTGACGTCATTGGCGCCTAATAGCGTCGTATTTCGCGTATCACTCCTTCCCGTACCTCTGTCGAACGTACACCTCGTGGTTCTTTCTGGTGATAGATCTTTCCCGATTCTTCCTTTTATTTCATCTCCTTCCACGTGGACTTCGAGGATGAAGAAATTATGTGTACGATTTCAACAAGTTCCGTTTCAATAAGTATCCCACTTTTGTTTTTTCTCGCATAAACTTCCTGTCGTGAAAGCGAGAAAGAGTCACGGAAATCAGTTCGTTTGCTCCGATGGATCGTCGGCCCAACGCCAACAGAAACGGCGCTTCAAGCGGACAGCTGTGATGCACTGCAGCGTTACGATTTCTCACTCATTCATCCTTGACTGGATCGGGAAGGAATTGATTCGATCCTCCATAAGTTAGGATCTGTAGCCGCGTGTCGCGTACCGAGCGTTCGATCCGCGCGACTCACTTGACACAGACTCAGATCGCTTTCCACCGCAATCACGTTTACTCCGTTACTATTCATCACTTTTCCTGCAACGTAATTCCTCTTTGACGATGCTGCACGCGCTTTCCATGCCCCTTCGAAATCGTTATCACTGTCACTAGTCGTTTCCCACCAGAAAAAAGATCGTCGTAGCGCGGCGGGCTGTGTTGCAAAACGGATAAGCGTTCTCTTACCGGGTTTTCAACAAGTGATCGCAGCAGCAGTAAGAGCAGAAGCGGCGGCGGCGGCGACGACGAATCGGTAGCTCGTCGTTCCAGGGTCGTTTGTCGGCGTATAGGTGGCACAGCACGCGCATGCTACACCTCCTGACAACGTTGTTATTGTTGCGTAACTGGCGGCTCGCTAAGCCGAGTGTGCCGCTGCCAGCAGCCAGACAGAGAGAGAGAGAAAGAGAGGGAGAGAGAGAGAGAGAGAGGTCGCGACAGCGAGGTAACAGCAGCCGTGGGTGAGCCAGTGGGCGAGTATCTCCGAAAGAGCAGTGAGTGTGCGAGCAGTGCGCCGTCTGGCGTAGCTAACGACAGTCTACTGCCTTCCGAGAACCACGAGGCGATTCCGTGTATCGAACGCGCGCTGTCGAGCCACTGAAGGGATGGACGCAAACCAGCAGAGTGGGGGATCCTCTTCAGACAAGATGGGAGGGAGCGACGCTGAAGCAAGTGTAAAGGCCCGTTCACAGGAGCTCTCTCTTTCTCTCTCTCGCGCGCGCGCGTTCACAGACAATACAGTTTTGGCTCGTCATTTATTATAACGGTTCTCTGCAATCACTTACTGCTTAATCTTATAACTAGACTGCGGATGTTTATGCATTTATAGCATATCCTGACTTGCAAAACGTAGCAAAATAAAGATTTCAGTAAAATTTAATATTATTATTAAGATATTACAACCCGTAGTATAGAAAAGAAATTTCTATGGAATTTGGTTTTATCTATATTAGTGTCGAAAATTGTAAATTTGCATAAACAACCGCAGTCTACTCATAACTATTGTCATCCTTGAAATTTACAACTGTATGAGTAGGCTGAAATTTAGAGATATATATACTTTTAATATTTATTTCAAACAGTTGTAATTATTCACTAAACAGTTACAATAAATTTCTGTTGTAGCAAATGCAGTACTGAATTCAATGCTTTAATAAATGTTCATTTTTTATATTAAACTCATTGTAATAAAACAGCCGTAATATCTTTAAACAAGAGTACTCTTCCCTTGTGTATGACATTTTATTTACATTTCTACCGTCACACGTATATTTACAGTTATATATTTTCAATTTGTTTTTTTATCTAAGTTTCAGTTTTATTAACTCACTTCTTAATTACAATACTTCTATATAAAAAAAATGATGCTGTGTTAATATACTTATACTAATTCTATATTAGCATCAGCTCTCAGTTTGGAAATTTTATAATATAAATTGTTTTTTATTTGTTTAAATCACGTCACTTTTTACTTAAAGAAACTGGACCTCTGTTATAGTAGATGTAGTAAAAGTGTGTGAATTGTCTTTAACGTTGCTTGTGACGAGAAAGTTCATGCCTGCGGAGAGACAAAGTTGGCGATATTCAGCCAGAATCCTCAGGGACGCACTCTACTACACTCTCTCTTGTCTATGCCTCATATTTGAAGACGATAATGAGGCTTTTAACCGTGGCCTTGTGTCGTTGCAGCATATTAAATGGAAAATCGAGAAAATACCTCCATTCGCCGCCGTAGCTTCTTCTTACGTCACTCGGATTTCCTGATACGATATTTGATGTATTTTTCTCTGGCGTCATCGCATGAACTACGAATGAGGTGCACGAAATTTTACAATTGAAATTAATTTTTTGCAACTGTTTGTAATATTTTTTATATTTTAATTACTTTATGACATCTACCGTTCGTGACGATTGATACTACAAATATTTTGTAATTATATTTAGTAATTGTGTACAGGAACATACAAAATAAATATAATTTATAATCATACATTGTTTCTACATTCACTATTTCAAAATATGATGAAAAAGAGGAACGATGCAATGGAAAATTGAACGTACCCTCTCGATATTTGTCATTGTCTCTGTAGTGTTAAAACGCATAATTGTGCTATACTCGTTGATAACAAAGTAAAGAGAGCAAAAGACACACGGGAATCCCTTGTGATAATCGGCCTTATCTGTTCCAGAACTGTAAAAACCAAGGGCAAAATCAGTTCCTTGGGTTTCGCTGCGAGGAAGTATACATAATATATATATATA